ATGTGCCACAGTACCCACCTCCGGGTGAATTATATCCATGGCAACAGAGTTGTAACAGTGCTTAGACTCCCGAGAGTCGGTAGACTGTGAATCGACATGTTTAACATAACAGCGGGACTTCGTTATTACTCCTCGGTTTTTGCGAGTGGTTTGTTCAACTCTGTCTCAAGTAATTCCAGAGAATGTCACGAAGATGAATGGCAAGAGACTGTTGCGATTCAAGGCTAGTAGTTGAAACATTTCAGCCAAATCTCGTAATTACGCAACTAATTAGCATTCGATTACGTATAAGTCTTCTTTGTGCTCCAAGTAGAGATTTCCGAGTAGTGCATTATCTCTAGTACAACAACGACAACGATAACAACGATGATAACTTTATTTACACTGTAAATAACAAAGGTATGCACAAAAATCAGTCTACCTGCCACTGAAAGTAGCAGTGACAGGCTATTCGAAGTGGAGGCAGGACCTATCTAGCTCGGACGTTTCTTTCTTTCGTAAGCTTACATTATTGTACACTGTCAGATTGAAACTGTCCTCATCAGTCATGGACTAAACTTTTCATAGTTTCTTTGGGAAGTTGTTTCATCAGTTTGATATCACTACTCGTAAAATGCTGAGGCTCTTAAAGTACTAGAAACAGAAAAAGTACGTAAAGCTATATAATTATTTAATTACAGATTCTGAAAAAGAAAACCCATATAGGCATAGATTGAAACACAGATTGCAATTCAGATCGACCTTTCTCTTTAGCAAGACACTTTACTAGAAACGTTTGCCCTTTAGCAGAGAGAGTGTACAGATTTAAACTGACACCGATATAGATAAATCAACACGTGTGGACTGATAAACCAACAAGTGTGGACTGATAAACAAACAAGTGTGGACTGATAAACCAACAAGTGTGGACTGATAAACCAACAAGTATGGACTGATAAACCAACAAGTGTGGAATGATAAACCAACGCACAAGTGTGGACTGATAAACCAACAAGTGTGGAATGATAAACCAACAAGTGTGGACAGATAAACCAACAAGTGTGGACTGATAAACCAGCAAGTGTGGATTGATAAACCAACAAGTGTGTAGACTGATAAACCAACAAGTGTGGACTGATAAACCAACAAGTGTGAACTGATAAACCAACAAGTGTGTGGACTGATAAATCAACAAGTGTGTGGACTGATAAACCAACAAGTGTGGATTGATAAACCAACAAGTGTGAACTGATAAACCAACAAGTGTGTGGACTGATAAACCAACAAGTGTGTGGACTGATAAACCAACAAGTGTGGACTGATAAACAACAAGTGTGGACTCTATAGATTTGAGCCAACAGAGGATGAAGGGTAAGAGATGTAATCCCTCATATGGATCTTGTTACCAAGGTAACCTCTCTCAAATTAGTTTTGTATCACTCGCGGCTTCAAAACTTCCAGGGTTCTGAAAATATAGCCAATCCTGTGTCGTGAATGTTACTCACATGGACAGCAAGGTCGACATGAGATGGATTATCTTGGGAATGAGCACCTATTAGTGGGATTAACACTAACACTAACACTCTTACCCTCCATGCTCTCTTAACTATACATATACAGACATTGATATCAGATAAACACAATTCTGAGTATGGACTCAATACATTTTGATATATTGGACCTAACACCTGCAAATCATTGAACGATACGACCAAGAAGTCTTTTTTATTGCAAAACACATAATTGGTTACACGACACAATACTTACAATACAGCACAACAAAATACAGTACATTACAGAGCAGCGTAGTGCATTGCAGTGCAGTGCAGTGCCGCACAGTACAGTACTTTGCACTCCACTACACTGCAATGCAATACAATACAATACCATAAAATATTTTAATCGACTATATATTTACCATGCGATTCTTACATTACAAGGAGGTGGTTACGCGTACGCTATACAACAATACAATAACTTACTAACAGTTGTTACTAACATAGATACTTATACTAATACCTAAAATAGCAACATTACATACCGCTTAGCTAGCAATCTTAAAAGTTAATTCTAGTATTGTGGTTAATTATTTTAATACTGGTGCTGTTATCTAGAGTTATTTTCTTTTCAATTTTCATGGAGGTTAACAGTAGCTGTGTATATACTTGCAGCTTAGGTATGGAGCTC